CAAAGAGCCTTATCAAGGCTCCTGCTGGGAGGCCTATTCGTTCATGTCCCACAAATGTACGCTTGATGTCTCCATAACTAAATGATGCTACTCCCTGCATCGGATGGTTGCAGACGTGCTCAAACCCAAGGAGCGCACACAGTGTATTAGGCGTACATCCGGGCGGGCAGTGAACAGCAACATGCTCCATGATTCCAGATAGCTCCAGCTGTATCACCAGAGGTAAGGAATCTTCTGCAGCTGTCTCATCGGTCAAGGCAACAACAACGACATCGTGTTCGTTTCGGCCGTTTCCTGCAATCTCAGTCATAGTTGGCTGTGGGAAGACAAATACAAAATGCACAGCAAGGACACCTTCGTCTTCAAAAGGCGAGATCAACTGAGTGGCCCACAGACCTGTCCTCCTCATCCAGATCGTGAATGGCTCACCTTGCAGCTGCCCATACCGAAGGAAGCTCCAGCCCATAATCTTTTTCTCCCAGATGCCATTTTCTCTAGATCTGAAGTGCTCGTACACAACATCAACTCCCAATTCTTGCCAAGCCTGCGTCAACTCCCTACGTGTGAGACGTAGCGTTTTAATGTATGGCAGGCCCCGTTCACATGCTACTGCAAAAGGCACAAAAGATGCCGTCGCAACTGTTCGCTGCATAAAGCAAGTAGCATCATCATTGTCGCCTGTCTGTCCCATCAAACTGGAGCTTTGGCCAGAATAAAGAGGAGTTGCAGTGTTTTCTCCTGACATGGCCTCAAAAGGTCCAGGCCACTGTCCGCTCATCTGCACATGGTGTGTGTCTGAACCTAGACTTGATGCATCACTTGAAGCCGAAGACGCAGTATATAGTCCCTCCGAAGTGCCAACACTGGTCCCATCAGGGTCAGCAATCGGCACAAAAACCTGTTGGTGCGGAGGTATCCTTTCCAGGAAAGTGATGGCGATTCCAGAATACAATGGCACAATTTGCTCCCAGTTGTATACTCTTCGTCCAATGATTATGCTACATTCAGACACCCAGACGCATTGGACATGCGGCAGTCGTGCAGCAAAAAGCTCATGGACAAAAGGAAATCGGGGAACCATGTACATAAATGTGCCTTGCCAGTTCTCTGACAGTATGTCCACAGTAGCTAGGACCCCTATCCAGCTTTCAGGGCAAACAGTGAGCAGAAGAAAAGTTACTTCATGCTCCACAGGGCGAACTGGAACAAGTTGTGCTTGTGGCCTGACCTGGAAATCTCGCCATTGGCCGACGATCTGCGGCCGGACTTGTCGGTTCAAAGCAATCTCGTGCCTTCTATATGTAGAAGACCACATCTCTCTTCGGTCCCACGTGTGTAGCCAGACAGTAACAACCGTCCGAGCCACTCCAAGGCTCTCCAGTACAAAATCCAGAGCCGGATCAAGCACATATGGGGTCACAGAATTCTGCATCAAACTATTCAAATCCTCCATGGTGGGCTCGTGATCTTGCTCGGTCCATGTTCGGACATGCAGATGGCAAAACTCACCACTAACCTTTGGCAAAGTCTGTTCGCGAAATGAAACAAAATGCGCTCTATGCCTAATCACATCGGTCCTTAGGAGCGATCGAATTGGGTCGAGCCTCGAGAGCATACATGAATGATACGACAAGGTCGCATCCGATGAGGACTCTCCTACCTGTTTCACAATCAAAACAGGCCAGTCCCATGGTCTAGAAAACTTGTAGACTAGGTAATGCAACTGGTCATGATCAAAATCATACTCGGTAGGTTGCGGCCTCACAATGACATACTCACAAAAGGCATCGTCACATTGGTCCTTCCATAGCTCTGTGAAAAGCGGTTGCAATTCAACTAGATCAGTACGTGGAAGGAAAGTATGTCTTGGCGCCATTGAACATGATGATCGTCCGGCAAACCAGACCTGCACTTTCTGACACCCTGGCCATCTTTGAGAATGTTCATTGCAAGCGGGGCAGGAGGGCAGCCGCACTTGAACCGATCTTTGGACAAAGCTAATCTCCTGCTCTTGGAAATCAACGATACAATTTCGGGAGGCCCCACAAACAGGCATCTGAGTATTTGTTACGTCAAGAGCCCCAAAAAGTGGGAAAAATTCATGCACAGCACAGAGCTCGTACTGGTTGTCGAGTCGTGCACGGAGGCAAAAAGGGGGCTCCACCTGCCCATCTGGCAGCTCGGAAAAGGGACATGTTTGCCTTTTTCCGCAAAACAGGGAGAAATCCTTCCAGCTCCGGGGACTTGAGGACCGATCATCAACGGTCGCATACGAAGTCAGCTCGTCAAGTCTACCTGGCTGCTTCTTCCCTTTACTGGCCTCAGAGAGGCCCGATTCTAGCTTTTGTCCATGCGAATGCTCTATGATGGAGATGCCCTCAGCTCCTCCAAGGAGTAGGAGGAGAAAGGCTACAGTCCATCTCCGTTTCTTACAGGGTCTCTCATGGCTAGGTTGTCTGGAGCCCCCAACAAAACTGCTGCGTCCTGGCAAAGGTCTTGGAAAAGCTCGTTCCTCGCGAAACCTCCCAACGATGCCAAGTAAAGCACAGCATAAAGCGAAAAGATTCACATAGAAAGTGCCTAGTAAGATTTGGACTCCACCGAAGCTGCGAAACCCCTGCTCATCATCACCAGCCAGCTCCAGGATAAAACCATTGCAAAGGACAGTCAAAACCTGCCAAAGAATGAATCCCGCATATCCAGAAGCATGAGGCCAGATATATAGGCACTTCCTGACTCGTCGTGAGGCCATCAAATTGTGCACTACATCCGGAAATGCACAAGAGGCCCGATTGGCAAAGAATATCCAACATAGGATGAAAAGGCTTATACCCCAACTCTGCAGCACATAGGGGAAAATATCAGCATTCCACTCTCGTGGGAGCCAACAAGCAGCAGAAACAAGGCTTGCTTTCCATTCCTCATAAATTTTGAAGCATCCCTCCGCACCATATCCATAGAGTTCAGCTCGATAACATCCAAAAGCCGCAGTCTCATCAAAGGCCGTCCACTGTACGAAATAGCACAGGCCAGCTGATAAGAGCAACGAAAGCAAGGTGTAGGCTTCAAATGGCCATACACCGGGGCTTACCACACAACCAGAAAATCCGATATTGGGTAAGACACTAGAAAAAGAAACCCCCAAACTTAGTGTACCAAGGAGCGAAAAGCAGCCTTCAAACATGGCGCTATACATGCCTCCTTTGGTTGAAGACACTAGGACATCAAGTCCATGTTGACTCTCGAACCACCATCCGGGGTCTTGGCGTTCTCCTTTTCTGACCGGGTTGGAGTAGTGTACGGCCCCATCTTGTCCTTCCCGTTGAAGCGCCGGAAAGGGCGACAAGGATGCTCCAGCGCAATAGGAAGGTCTGACCCTGCTTCCTTTAGGCTTGTACCATTGAGGCAAGGTGCAAATGTTCCACCTTCTGCTTTGCCTTCTTCCAGTGGCATATTCGCCATCCGAGGCACAGGAGCTGCAATTTCCTGCTTTGGCTGCAGCTTCTGTATCAGCGCAAGAGCCGACTCCCATGTCACATAGTTCGCAGGATTTGTGGTGATCGCCTGCAATACTCTCTGCTGGTCTCTCTCCGTGAGCACAGACATTTCCTCTTCCAAGTCCTCGTACTTGTATTGAAGCTCGGCTTGTGGTTCTAGATGCCTGGATCTTTTGGAAGGAGTTCGAGACCGTCCTCTCTTCCTCTCTGGGCTGTAGCTCTTGGACTCCTCCTTGATCTGCATCCCAATTGTCTTGGGTATCTTGACTTCTTGCTTTGGAGATGAGTTGGGAATGTCTCCTACAAGGGATGACCCCTGTATCGCACCAATGAGCTGTGACATTTGCGCCTGCATCGCATCGAACATCTGCGCATTGCGCACCTCCAGCTGAGTGGTGTACTCCGCATACTCTTGGAAACGACTTTTGATCTGTCTCAACTCCTGTTTGAGCTTGTTGGTCTCTTGACGTTGCTCTTCCCCATCGGAATCGATCACCAACATCTCGGGGTCCGACTCTCCATCTTTCGTTTTCTCGAGCCGTTTCAATTCCTCCTGCAGCTCTGCCATCGCACCAGAATAGCGCTTTTCTTCCTTTCGCACTCCTTCGGAGATTGAGTCTTTCCAAGACCGGAAGTCCACCTCTTTCTGTGCCATGTCTTCCTTCACTTTGCAAAGCCTGTTGAGGGCCTTTCTCTCGGCATTCAACTCCTTCTGCTTGGCCTTCAGCTGCTCTCGAGGGTCTTCTTTGACTAAGTCGATCACCTCCTTCGGGACGTCTTTCACCGTATCTTTCTGCATCAAATTTCGCATAGTTTCTTTGAGCTTTTGGTTCTCCTCCTTCAGCTGTGCTTCCTGCGACCCAGCATACCATCCATGCGAGGATGAACCACTTTCTCCTTCGAACTCGATGCGGCGACCATCGTACCCGACCATGAACACCTTGCCATCCTTTGTGTTCTTGGTGTCTTTCTTTCGGCCCTTCGGAACACTCCATTGGGACTGATCCCAAAACCAATCCTTTCCCTTTTTCCATGGCATCCTAATGGTGTATCGTCGCGAGAAACTATAGGTCGGTGCAGAATGATGGTTTTGCAGCAGATGCACCGCTTTTCGAACTCGCAAAAGCTGCTGGTGGGTCCACACCTTCTTCCAGCGCAGGGAATGGATGGTGTTCCGAGCTCGGCTTCTTCTCTTCCTCGCCCTTCTGTGCCAACCAGGGGAACCAGGTATGGCTGCGACAGCGAGTGAAAGAAAAACGTGCAATGCACGATTGGGGCACTAACTCTTCCACTAGGTGGCTATGTTTGAGCCCTACCCTTCAGATCCTCCAAACAAGCAGAATCATCCTCGGACCAGTATGGACCAGTCATCCTCTTTTCCTGAAGTTCGACATCTTGAAAAACCAACGCCTCCTTTGACCTCGCATCCCATCCGACCGAAGACCTGCTCGCTTCGCACCGGAATGGACATCCGCAGCGGCAACGCCTCCGCCCGGTCACCAGGAGCGGAATGCGCGGGGTTCACGCTCCAGCGAGCCGGGCGAGGCCATCGGTGGCGGACGTGGAAGGTATGGGGTCCTGGCACTGTCACCATACCCATGGGCATCCCATGGGCATCCCATGGGCTCATGAGGTATGAGGATGTTCTGAGTTGATCCCCTCAACCGGGTCACGTCCGTGTCAGGTCGAGGGTCCGTCCGTCCGACGCCTCACGTCGGGGTACGCGCGGAACGCCCGGCTTCGCCGAAGTGACGGCCGCTGGCGGCACCTGGCTGGAAGGCCTTACTAAGGGACCTGAAGCCAGGAGACCCCTTATAAAAGGTCCAGGTAGGAATTCTGTAAGAGATATGTGAAGATTTCATCTCACTTGATCACAGGCAAGCAATGTCATCAAGGATCCTTCATAGCTATGGCAGTAGAGGACCCGTCTCCCAAGGTCCTGGGTCCGATCCTTTGGGGGCCAATTGGGCGATCGCCAGGGCTCGCAGAGTGACTGGGACTGGGAACATTGGCATGATTCCCACGGGTCGGAGGCCTCAGATGGAGCAAGTGGTGAGGACTTGGGATGGTCGTTGGACTTTGCGGAGTTTTCTGTTTTTTTCTTCCGTCGAGAGGCGTGAAACGCAAATGGATGAGTTTGGGGAGATTTTGGGGAGAGTTCGGAGGGTTGGGGGGAGGTAAAAGAGCACAAGAAAAGTATCGTGGAACATGTGGGACCTATGGAACTCCACAAGTTGAGGAAGGTTCCCTACTATTGGTATAACGGTATAACCTAAGAGAGATCAGAGAGGTGGCCTCCAACCTAAGAGCAATGGCCTCTAACCTGATAGTGAAATTAATAGCCATGGCCTCCAACCGAATAGCGACACCCTCCAACCGAATAGAGCGATGGCCTCCAACCTAGATCTTGCGCTCTCTTCATCCTTTTGTATTGCATTCCTTATTACGGCCTTCTTGAAAAATCTTTCGACATCACCCTCTTCAGGCTTCGCGTGTCACCGGCCCTCTTTCATGTGGATCATCCAAGTTTTGTATATAGGGGAAACTCGTCTACCTAACCTAACAAGCCGCTTCAATGATCAGCAACGCGGTTTCAATACTCCTCAGAGACCCGATACCCTCGCCCCAAACGGACGGTCCTTTTTTGCCTTTGTGGTGCTGAGGGCGTGGATAGAAAGGTCAACCGAAGGAGGTGACAACTCCACGAGACAACTTGGTTGACTTCCTGAGAAGCCATGTTGCAGGTGTGCACGCACGCACACACACTTAGACAATGGGTTTGCAGTTAACTCAATTCCACGCGGAAATGAATGAGGGAACAGAAAGGCGAGTGAGTCCGAAAAATTGAAGATGTTGAACACAGGTGTTGCAAACGCTCAGAAATCGCAGAAAAACGGCGGCGGCGAGCTCAGCAGCTAGAAAGTTGGTTTGTGGGGAGTAGCATGCAAACAGAGCGCCGATATCGGCGCTCGAGAGAAATTACTAACCACTTAAAAAGCCTTAGAAAGAAAGGAAGAGAAAATACAGAAAGAGAAACGCAAAGGGCAAGAGAGAAACATAGGTGTAGTTACGAGGCCCACTAGTTACGAAACCTTCTAGTTACTGACTACCTAGCACTCTAGTTACTGAATACTTAGCCCTTGTCTTGAGGGAACGGCAAGAAATGCTGGGTCCGATCAACAGAAGGGAAGGTTTCAACAAAAACTAGTTACTGACTACTTAGCGGCTCTTAATTAGGTGCACTAGTTAGCGAGCGGGACATTAGTCTTAAACCGCCCGGGTAGATAGGACTAGGACAGGAGAAACAGAAGGAAAGGCACCGACACACAAGTGTGTCGAGTACCATTTCCTTCTGTTACCCTAGATAGCGGGTGGGATAAAAGTGTGAATTCGCGTGCAAAGGTGGTGTGTGTGTGTGTGTGTCGAATGTCCGTAAACCCGGCGGTTGTCGAATCTCCGTAAACCCGGCGGTTGTCGAATCTCCGTAAACCCGGCGGTGTCAAATCTCCGTAAACTCGGCAGTGTTGTGGCAGGAAATTCATTGGGTGAAACAAAACTCATCAAACCAGAAACCACGACGGCTGCACTTCGAGTCAGAAACACGGTAGTCCGGAGTGGCTTCAGCGCCTCTCTTGCGAGAGGATCACACTCTGCACCCAGTGGGACGACAGAGTGGCACACACTTAGACAATGAGTTTGCAGTTAAGCCAATTCCACGCAGAAATGAATGAGGGAACAGAAAGGCGAGTGAGTCCGAAAAATTGAAGATGTTGAACACAGGTGTTGCAAACGCTCAGAAATCGCAGAAAAACGGCGGCGGCGAGCTCAGCAGCTTGAAAGTGGGTTTGTGGGGAGTACCATGCAAACCACCATGGAAACAAAAAGTCCAATTGGACAGCGTGTTCAACAGTTGCGTTGCAGGTACAGGAAAATGGCCAAGTTTCCCTTCCCACTCTTATCCACAGCGTCGTTGCGTGTGATAGGATAAGAGTGTCACACGCCCCTGCACTTAACAAAACCTCTTCGGGACAGGGTGTGACACGCACACACACGTGCACACACACACACATGACGAGTCCCTTTTAAACAGCTTATATATGTATATATACAGAAGATGACAATTTGACAAACACACTTTTCGGGATTGGACACGGAGCGACACCCAAAGCCCAGCAGGTGTTTCTATTCAAACGTGTTCAACATGAAAGGAACGAGTGTAGAATGTACCAGCCACACCGACCATTATATATAGGTATTTAATGGTAATTATCTAGCAATAAACAAAAGCCGCTGTTCACAGAAAAAGGGGTTGACAAGATTAAAAACAAAGAGTTTGGGCGGCCCCAAGTACCGTTGCTGAGGTTGTAATGGGGTTTCGAGGCTGACCATGACTATGATAGGTTCCTATTATACTTGTACAAAAGCAACATTTTTAAATGTGTCCATTGTTCATTCAGATATATATATGTATATACACATTATACTGTATGTATATATATATATATCTTTCATATGACAGTCACAAGCATCACATTCATCTTGCACCTGTACCGGGGGACCTTCCAAATGGTCACCCGTGCACCCTACATGTTAGTAGACGCTTCCAGCTCCATTTTTTCAGGTCTAGGTGTGAGTGTGTATCCAAATCATTATAGGGAGAGACCAAAAGACACCTCATGTTACACATGAAATCCTGATCAAGACCACCCTTACCGGTTCTGAGCCGTGGGGTCACGATGCGCTCTACGTGTCAACCTGACCCGACCGACCCTCGTCCGGGTCCAACCCGCTCGCCCCGAGGTGGACAGAGAATTGGTCCGGGCGCCGAGTCGCCCCGAGTCGTTTCGGTTCCGTGGTTCGGCGACGAAGGACTCTGGTTGTTTTGGGTGTTGCGAGAAGCGTGACCGATCCTGGGGCGCACCGATCTGAAGTGGGTGAAACGGATAAAGATCGCTTCCCCACTCAGAGGACCGGGTGAAAGTTCCATGTTTGGGATTCCTGGCCAGTGATTTTAGTGGTTCTTATACGTTCTTATCGAACAACCATTATGTTCTACCAAGTTTGTAGATGTTTTGTTGGCAGATCAACCACTCTTGGAAGGCTAGGGTTCCACGTTCTAAGGTTCCGGCAGTCGTTCACCGGACCAGCATACACACACCAAGAAAAATCCGAGAGGGTGAACGCTAAAACGCCAAGGGTAAGAACATCCGACAACTGCAGGTATGGCCGCGGAAAGATGCAATGGGTTTGGAGGGCCCAAGTGGTGCAGGGACGGGCGAAACGCCGAATGCAGGGTCTGTTCGGAGGAACGTGAGGGTCATGAGGGGCATGAGGGGTCCAAATGGAGAGCAGCCATGTCCAAAACATGTTCAGAGGGGCGGAAAAGGGAGATAGAATACCCAAGCATTCCATGTATACCATATATATGCCTACATTGACCCCCCGTGGCACCACCGGCCGGAACTCTCGGCAGTCCGACATGGCAGTCCCGTGAGTTGCGTCGTGGGACGGCTGTCTGTGCTGGACGCCCAGTCGACCGGGACCGGGACCGAGAGCTGGGAGCCGTTCTGCAGAGATCACGGGAACAGAGGACCCTTTGTTTTCACAGGTGGGTTTTACATGTTATTGCTGATGACTGGCTAAAACCAGTCTAAAGGCCCTTTCCAGGGCAATGGCTCCCCAAAATGGAGAAGGCGAAACTTGGAAGCCTTGAGAAGGCATGTTTGATCTCGATCTATCTCCTGAAAAACTCTGGGGAAGGCCCGGGAAGGCATGAAAGATCATGAAAGGCTATAGACAAAATGGGATTGGAGCAGAGGAGGATTGCGCTTTTGCAACTCGTCAACAATCTCCTCGGTCCTGTATGTATTTAATTTGCCAAAAGATCAACTACTTCAACTACACTAAGAATCCGGCCCCCTCACCAATGACACCTGACTTGACACCACTGATTGCTCAAGGCCCTCCTGATAATCAAATCGTGGAATTTGAGGTTTATCATTGACTCGTGCTTTACTATTGTGATGTGAAAACGATACATCATCATCTACACCAATTCATCGGAAAAGGATATCCACAAATCCCTCAGCAATTCGCACAACGGCTCGTCAACCAAACTTCTCCCCGGCTCGGTTCCCAAAGCGTCCGGTTGGATGCCGATCCGAACCCGAACGGATCCGTATCACGAGATCCCCCCCAACTGGAAAAAGCCGCAAGGCTCTGCCGGTGCGGGGGGGGTAGTACCACTTCACGGGGGACTCCTGTTGTTCCCATGTGGAGGATGGATTCCCCAAAACCCAGGCAAGAATGCTGTTGTCATGCACTGTTCAGTGCGGGTGGGGTCCTCCTCTATTTTTTGTATGTAAGAAGGCCTTGGTTTCTGTTTGGCTCAGTGCGAACCTGTCGGTTGCCTACTGTGGGTACAGCTCGCTAAGCTTTGCTGGCACTTCTCCCAGCAAGTGCATGGAAAAGTGATTCGATTGAGAGACTGAGAGGTGTTGATCACAAATATCGCTACTAGGGTGGAGGCCATCGCTACCTGGGTGAGAGTAATGAGAGGCTGAGAGGTGCGTCGATCACCAATGCCTCGCGTGCCATCCATGGTTAGGTGGCAAAGTCCTCTGGAGGCCTTGGGCGAACACCTCTGTTAGGAGCAAGGACGCTACTAGGAGCAAAGGGCATCGCTACTAGGAGCAAGAAGCTACTAGGGGCTCCTGGCAGCGCTACGAACGGAGCAAGGACGCTACTGGTTGTCGCCTGGTCTGGCAGGGGAGGGAGGGGATTTTGAGCAGGAAGAACATCTCAGCTGACTGGCTGATTGATCCAGAGTTCGCTCCAAGAACCCCGTCGACATGTCGACTCGACTTGCAGTGATGTGGATGAGTTTGTAGTTTGTATATACTACTGCGCGGAGTGTACCAGTGAGGGCATGTGATTTGATGGCTACTTTGACAAGGCCTTGTTTGTGTGGAAAACAGACATGGCAATCCCCAACTAATCGGACTTTCATTGATTTATATACTGTAGTTCCCGAAAGAAAGCCCACACGAGCTCACGGTCGAGCTCACGAGCTCATTCTCTCACTCCGACCAAAGCCCCGGGCAATGACACATGTCAATGATTGTCTTGTACGAGGTGAGTCTTCCAGTGGTCTATTATCCATTTCCCTGTGCTTGTACCTGGGTGGGTATGCCACTGTCGATAGCATGCCACTCAAAGGGGTGGTTTCAACCCGTGAGCACTTCTTTTGGTCATCGATCAATTTTGGGGAACGGCCCGGAACCCAACGCAGACGCTGAAGCTGAACACCACGAGCGTGGCGGAAGTGGTGCTTCCGCGTCGGGTGGGTGGCCGAGAAAGCCGAGCTGGGCGGAGAAGGCGCGGCGGAAGAAACTCGGAGGAGTTCGGATGGTCCTCCAGTGCCGAGTGACACATCCAGTTCCAACAGCCCAACAGCGGCCAGTGGGTGGGCTCTTAAGGACGATCTTAAAAGGTACATGATACATGACTAATTAGCTCCCAGGAACAACACCGACGTAAATTGGATGTAGCATGATGCAGCATGATGCAGCATGATGTACCCCAAAGGCCGTGGGCAGTGTATATTGGGTGCAGTGCAAGGGGGGAACTCTTCGATCCCGACAACAGGGTCCATGGTGCGGTGAACTTCCGGTGGAGCACCGCGCCCATCGTTCGCGATGGACCTCAAGCCATCCATTCCCGTCTCCATCGACGGCATGGCTTGGTCTCCAGCGGTGAAGAGGTGGAGTAGAGGGAAGCACAGCGCGAGCAGCGCAAGAGTTTCTGCTCGTGGAAGCTGGTGTTTGTCCTGCTTGCAGGACGGACAAGTGATCGACAGCACAGCCGACCAGTTGCCCCAAAAGGGTTTTATGATGTTTTATGTATTTACATACGATATGATATATATATATATATATATGTATTGATGATGATTATGGTGATGATTTGACTGATTGATTGATTGATTGACTGATTGAATGATTGATTGATTGACTGATTGATTGATTGACTGATAGATAGATTGATTGATTGATTGACTCGTTGATTGACTCGTTGATTGACTGGTTGATTGATTGGTTGATTGACTGGTTGATGATGGACGATTGTGACGATGATGATGATGATGATGGTGATGGTGACGGTGATGGATGATTGTGATGGTGATGATGATGGTGATGGTGATGATGATGAAGAAAACAATGATGATTGATGATGGACGAATGATGATGCATGATGATTGTTGATGGATCATTACTGATGCTGATGAGATGATGATGACGATGACAATGATGATGACGATGACGATGATGATGATGATGATGATGATGATGGTGATGAAGATGGCGATGAAGATGGCGATGATGATGATGATGATGATGATGATGATGATGATGATGATGATGA